CCTTTTAATTTTCTTGGTAAGATTTTCAGAAGTGATTTACCATTGCCTTCATCCTAAGGCAGAGAGAGAAAGAGTGAGTCAAAGTCACACAGCTGACTGTGTGTCTAAAGTAGGACCAGTCTTACAGTCTCCTGGTTTATAACCTGGTACTTTAACCATTTACATGAAACTCACGCTATGTTTAGAAATCCACTTTTTCTGGTATTATTTATCTAGCTATATATCCCTATTATCATTTCCACAAATCTTGCCTTTACTTATTCTTAGACTCATATTAAATATATTCTATCATTTTAGGTCCAGTGATGTTTTCTCAAAACTGTTAATGTCACCATGCTGTCCACCCATTTTATTGTTTTTTCAATTCCCTAGTTTTCCTCTGCTATATTTTAGCCCAGACACCATCTCCATCACATACTGTTTCCTCAGATCCCTCTATGTCTTTTATCACATGCTTCACAGAAGGTGCATGTACTGTTGCAAGTCTTATCTACAAAAAACTGAGATATGAGCATCCTAAAATCATTTTTTTTTACAGGAGCTTATTATAAACTTCCCATCACCTCAACTTCTTTAAGCTGTTCAAATTAACAGGTCAAAATGTATCATGCTATAGACTAGATTCTACAAAGGTCTTTGGAGCACCTGCACCTGTCTGCAACTCTAAAGAAGCTGTGGGTTTTCCCAGGATCATGGGGCAGCTGTAGACAGGCAGATGGTCTCACACCCTAGGAGGCACCTTTTCCAAATTGCTTCTAAACGGCTGCTCATTCCTACTATAGATCAGATTTTATTGGGTGACTCTATTCTATCAAATAGAGCATGCCAACCTTTAGATGGCCATGCAATCTAAATGAATATAAGCAAGAAAAAATGTTCAACGTATATCACTCTTGATTTATTCTCCTCAGAAGAATTATTTCTCAGAAGAAATAATACTGAATATATTCAGAATGTCCACTTCTGAATGCATCCAAAGTCTTTAAAAAAAACACTCCAGGATATGACAAATGACAACTGGCATTTACTTTGTTTTTAAAATAACCCTTATTCATTCTCAAGGTGACAGCTTCATTAATACTGTACTGAATATAGATAGCCACACAAGTCATTAGCATCTAAGGTAGCCTAGCCCAAAATGCATACCGGATACTAATATATGTCATAGAAGCTCAATGGCTTATTTAGATCAGTGGTCTGTTGATTTACATGAGCCTGACATGACTCAGTAAATAGATCAATCAAGGAATAATAATAAAGAAGGTAGAAACTGCAGGGTGGGTAAGATATATAAATTGCTATCTTGGCCAAGGAAATTGAAAACCTTGCAGCAGTGAGGAGTTTCAGTCCAGATAATCTTAAGCAACCTAGTTCTATATAGCTTATTAGGATATTTTCATAATATCAGTTATACTTAATCAACTAATAAGATAGTAAAACAAATCATTTATTTTTAACCACAACAAGCTATCAATATCTCAAAAGTTATATAATGGATAACAAAAAAAGGTAAATAATTAATAAACAGAATCATATCCCAGTGAATCATGCGCAATGGGACTCTGTAGACACAAAAGAAAAAAAAATCAAAACCCCCAAACAAAACAAAAAATGGTTAAATACAAACTTAGTTCTGATGGGAGAATGAATACCTAGATAAAAATCAAGCTACCCAGAATGGACAAGTTTGCGACATACACAAATCTGTGAACTGACAAGGGAAAAAAACCCTCTGAACAGGCAATTAAAAGGGGGGAGCACACAGCCCAGATGGGTTTTCAATGGAGTACATTTTCAATGGGTATCTATAAGAGCTTCCTAGACAGCATTATAGAACCATTCAGACAAAGGTTCTTGGATGCCATTCAAAACAAAGTCTGCATTATAGTAATTAGCAGAAAATGGAATGCTTAATTAACTGGGAAAAAGCCTACACTTTGCTCATCATACAGCCCCATCAATTGATCTATTTGGATGCCAAGAAAACAGCTAAGGTCTTGGCTCTAAGACTGCAAAGATTTTTTTCCCAAATTAATAAACCAAAGCCAAATTGATTTGATCCAAAAAGTCATTGCTCCTAAGCCACCATAATAAGGACTGGGGCTTCCAATCTAATCTAAAAATCTAGCTTCTTCCCTAATATATCAGAACTGACAATTTGGAATTTAATGTACTAAAGAAATAATATACACAGATGAACAACAGGGCATTGTGTAAACAAAGGCTTTTTTGAAGCTTAAAATAGATTTAAGCTGCCCCCACTTGGTTTGTAACAATAAAGATATCCATATATGATAAACCTGTGTGGGGACAAATGGGAACACTAGAATAAAAAGATATTTTTTCAGAAGCATATGTCTAAGTCTAATTTAACATCGAAAAGTCTCATTGCAAGGAGATAATTATGATAATTCCAGAACTTTAAACATATATATGAAAATTCCTTGATTTGGATGATATTTGATAAGCACATATAGAAAATAAACTATCATATTTCTTGAATATTCATTTCTTTGATGTCTGAATCATTTTATTTAATAGTTAAATATGTTAAATTTATTCCCAAAGTAAGCTTTTCTCTTGTGAGATGTGTATAATGCAAATCAATGTATTTCCAAAATTTAGCTTATTTTGTTACAATAAAAAGTCAGATTTTAAAAAGATAAATGGAAACAACTGAATAATGCAATTATAAGCTTATTCTTAAGTACACTGTAAAACTAGTATGACTGAAAAGGAAATCAGACCATTTTTTTCAGATAAGCAAACAGTGTCGCGATTTTGCATAAGTTTCAAACAGTTACATGCGGTTCTTTTCCTGATGGCTTGGATAAATAATTTACAATCATACAATTTTAACAGTGCCCCACACAGTTTGGAAACCCTGCATATAACTCCCACAAGTGAACATCACAAACAGCTGTTTGTGGAATCTTCTTGGCTCTTACAACATTTGAGACAAAAAAAAATTGTAACTATTACTCAACATTTATACAGCTTGTCAGATTGAAAATGCTTCGGCAATCATTATTTTTGAAATACATCGTAATTATGCCAATACTAAAACCTTGAATCCATTGATGAGAAGTAACTACTCAGTATTGTGCCTATATAAAACTAACAGATAAGGCTGAATTTTAAAGTACTATACCTCCTAGAAGCAAGATAAGAATGACTTCATCTAATATGAATCTGCCTGAATACTAGTATCAGCATTACCAAGGAAATACATTCAGATGCATGCAAAGACATGGCCTCTCAATGCATTGTTTGCCATTCAAACAAGTTGCTCCCTGGTTTTCAGAAAAACACGTTCAGAGTTGCTGTTACCAGGGGGAAAGACAAAGAATCAGAAGCACATCTGAAAACAGATTCAGAAGTTTTCACTCTTTTTATGCTACATTTCGTTTCACTTTTTGCTTTTCATACCGTAAAAAACAAAAAACAGAAATGTGACCAAAATCTTTGCTCAGATAGAACCCACTGTTTCAATAAAAGGGTTATTTTCTGTGCATAAGTTGCTTTGCGCATTAATCACAGAGAATATTAGAACTAATTAGGAATTAATACATATCTTCATATAATCTGTATACTTAACTAAAGATACTTCTTTACCTCTTATGAGTGGAATCATTTTCGATCCTGCTCTAAAATCAGACTGAATCCATGGTTTAATTTTTTTTAATGTCCTTGGATATGAAAAAGCTGTCACATTTATCTAGTTGTTATATTTCTACACTTTGTACATTTGTTCAGTATATTCAACAGTGATTTATAGCAATTCTCAATAGATTCAAACAGATTTTTCCCAGTCCTATACTGGAATGTTAGTGATTGTCAACTTTTTATATGAAGTAATATCATGAAAAATTCAGGTTTACTGAGGTTTGAATTTTCAAGAAGTGAATATTGGTTATCATTGAATGTATATAGACTGTTAAGTTAATGTAAGAATAAATTAAAATATCATGCATTTAATATCTATAACTGCATTATTTTTTGGTCAAATTTTTGCATCTGGGAAACTACATGTAAAGAAATGTAAAGATGGTATATGTCAGGTAAGTCATACCTCAGTAATACAATCTTGATCACTAAAAAGGAAATACTTGAGGGATATAAAGCCACATACATTTGGAAATTTTGATCCAAAAATGACACATTTTTAACAAAGAAAATCCAGAATTTAATAAATTATTATTTAGAAAATAAAACATCCTATTTTTTTAATAAGCTGAGCCCAAAGTGTATGAATCCAAATAAAATCTTTCCAGCAGATGGCTGTCCAGGTTCTGCAAGAACACATAGAACTAAGAGCAAACCCTCACCTATCCTGGTAATTCGTTCTACTATCAGGCTATTTTTCTGTAACTTAAATCCATTATTCTATGTCCTGCCTCTGAAATAAAAAAAAGAAGAGTTCTTGACCTTCTTCTGTGTGACAACCCTTCAGGAGTTGAACTGTGTAATCATATTCCTCCATTAATTGTTTTTTTTCTAGAGTAAACAACTGTTTCACTCTTTCTTCATAATTTCTATTGCCCTGATCATTTTCTTTGCCCTTCTCTGAATTTGTTACAACTGCTTTTAATCCTCCTTAAATTGGTATCAGAAATGGACACGGTTTGAGGTAAGAGCTAACCAAATCTAGACATGTGCTAATTTTTTTAAAAGTGGAAGATTTAACAAGTAAAATATAATATTTTTAAATAAATTTTAATAACCATCTTGTTAGAAATGTTAAGGATGTTGGAAAAGAAGATGGTAAGATAAAAGTAGAAAAACTCCACACATATTTTTTTTAAAACAAACAAACAAACAAAACACATAAGCAATCTTTGGTGTGGACTTAAAAGTATCTTTTTTTCATTCATTAATAATTATGTTCATCCAAACATTATAGATTGTACATATGCATAAGATATACATACAGTCATGACTTTCTCATTATTGCATTCAAACAATTAGTAACACAAAAGTTCTTACAGTACTAAACATACCTCTTGTGCTGAACGAGCAGCTGGCTTGTCTTGATGATTGGCCAATATTAAAAATGGCAAAGTGCATAATTGTGGATGCTGCAGCGCAGAATGCAGTTCATTCCTAGCAATTTCTAAATCATCTTCTGAAGAAGCACTGTCTAATACAAATATTACTCCTTGAGATCCTTGATAGTAACGACTCCAGTATTTTCTGATAGTGTCAGCCCCTTTGGCAATTACCAAACAAAAAACACACATAAATATTAATCAGATGACATACAGCACAGAATTACATATATCATGTTTACACATATCAAACTGGCTCTCCCTTACTACCCATATCTCTAAAAATATTTCTGCCAATTTTTTTCAGTGATTATATTTTTCATCTTTAAAAAAAACAAAATTAAAATTCACATACTTTCTTTTTTTAATCTCAGTTCCTTTACTTCTCTCTGAAACTCTTACGCTGACTCCTCTTCTATGCATTATTTAATCAATTTGCATTATCCAGCAAAGTAATTTTATTTTTATGGAATTTCTCAGCACTAAATTGGGTATTTTATCCAATGTCTTCATAAAACATATTTGAATATCCAGAATAAAGCACCTTACAGGGAGACCTCTAGTTATGACATTTAGCATCCTTCTAAGGTTGGTAAAATGAGGACCCAGATTATTGGGGGGCAATATGCTGACTCTGTAAACTGCTTAGAGAGAGCTATAAAGTATACAAAAGTCTAAGTGCTATTGCTATTTATGGTCCATTAAGCAGTTCTAGCCTTTGTAAAATTTTGTGCCACCTTCTGTAGTCATATGACCACATTTTGTATTTGGCAACCTGTTCACATTTACAACCAGTTCCCAAGTGCTCCATGTTCATGTGATCGCTATCTGCAATATTCTCTGCTTTCTTCCCAGAAAGTCAATGGGGAAGTCAGCAGGGAAGGTTGAAAGCTGCTGCCGCCTGTTGAAAGGACTCCCTCTCCTCTCTGGGGGCTGGCTGAAAAAGCTGAGTGAAGCTCAGACCCTCCATTGGACTTTACAAATTGGGATTGCATCCAGGAGGTGTAAGCTTCATTTTTGCAGCACAGTGGAGGTGTTCTCTTCCACTGGGGGGAAGCTTGGCTACTCCATCAGGCTGCAGAAAATGGGGCTTGTATCCTGAAAATCCAAGCACTGTTTCTGCACTCTGGCCCAGCTCCTCCACTCAGCTGCACAAATGGGGCTCACATCCTGAACTTTTGAGTTCCACTTCTGTAGCCTGCCTGAGGCGTATTCTTCTAGCCTTTTAGAATGATGATGTTCTAGAATTTCTACCCATCTAGATTTCTATACTTCAGAAGGATGGCGGTCACTAGCTTTCTAGCCCTAGGAAGGCCCTTTCTCCAAATCACATGATTTGGAAAGGAGCCTTTCAATGATTGTGAGAACAGGACCCATTTGCAGGATGGCACAAGGCAGTCTTGATAGAAAGGCTATGTCTCACATGAAAATAGAATAGAGCTGGAAGGGACCTAGGAGGTCTTCTAATTCAGGCCCTTGCTCGAGCAGGAAAACCTATATTATTTCAGACAAGTGACTGTCTAGCCTCTTCTTAAAAATCTCCAGTGATGGAGCCCCCACGATTTCTGGAGGCAAGCTATTCCACTGGTTAATTGTCCTCACCGTCAGGAAGTTTCTCCTTAATTCTAGGTTGCTTCTCTCTTTGATCGGTTTCCAACTATTGTTTCTTGTCCTGCCCTCTGGTGCTTTGGTGAATAACGTGACCCCCTCTTCTTTGTGGCAGCCCCTAAAATACTGGAATACTGCTATCATGTCTCCCCTATTTCTTCTTTTCTTTAGACTAGCCAAACCCAAGTCCTGCAGCCGTTCTTCGTATGTTTTAGTCTCCAGGCCTTTGATCATCTTAGTTGCTCTTCTCTGAATTTTTTCCAAACTCTCAACATCTTTTTTGTGATATGGTGACTGATATTAGCTGAAGTTACATGCAGCTGCAGAAAAAGGTGAAGATAAGTGAACCTGGACATGATGGGGTAAAGAGAGGGTCCTCTCCCCAGCACTCAGTATAACAAACTGCACGATCACTTAACAACCACAACTGGGAGAGTTGGGATTGTGGTTGTTGGGTGAAGTGTTACATGGGCATCTGATTTAATGACCGCTTTGCTCAATGACAAAGATTCCAGTCCCCGTTTTGAACATAAGCTGAGGAATACCTGTATGTAGAACAAAACATCCACAAAATAGTTTTGCTTTAATGTTTTCTTTGATGGCAAGCAAAAGAAGAGTCATGTGTCCAAAGTGATCAGCAATTAAAACTTTATGAATGAAACTAAACTCAAAATGTAGAGTTGAGGACAAAATTGCTGATTCTATAGAGCCAGCCTAAATATACACAACAGATCAGCTAACATAGCCAAAACAGTGCCCAGAAAGCAATGCCAGACTAGTACAGTATTCCCCAACCTGGTGCTCTTCTATATATATCAGACTTCATCTCCCAATGATGCTGTTTGTTCAAGACGTTTTGTGTAATATCAAGATCCATGATGAATGGCAGTCTTGCTATAATACATAATTAATGGGAAATGTGCATCCTAAGTACAATGTAGCAGCTCTACGAAGAATTTTCTTTATCTGATAATTATGAATGAATTATCAGATAGTAGAATGCCTTGCAGTTCTCCGAGCACCTGAAGAGTTGCCCTTCTAATAGACCTTATGTTGTCTGGAATTTTTACATGACACTTATCTAATTATTTCAAGAAATATAAGTTTCATCCTATCATGTAACATAAAGCCTCCTTTTTAATGTCTTTTTTTCCTGTTAAGCTGTTATAGTGTCATCTCTCCCAAATCTTATACATGGCTTTGATTAAAACTATTATTTCTTGTACTTTATTTTGATAGTAATACCTCTCTTGGAAATTCATACTATTATATCTAGACACTTTCAACAACAATTCCTTATCTCTTTTTTTAAAGTCAATTTCCCTGCTTCAACCTTTCACTATTTAAACATTTTCCTCACTTTCTTCCTCAGATGAATTTACTTTAGATTGTACCAGGCAGTGACTACACCTAGTGGTGAAAAGGTATTTGATAAGTATTAAAACTATTACTTATTGTCATAAATCAAGTCACAAAGGAATCAAATGCTACCATCAGCTGTACATATTATATATAGTGTTCTTTACCTCCAAGTTCTTTTACATTCAAGATAGCATTCTGGAACGGCACTGCTTTTATGCTAAAACCTGAAAATAGAAATAAATAAAAAAATAACTTTTTTCCAGTTGACAGATTATCCAAAGCAGTACATTTGTTCACTGTAACATTATTTTCCTCAGTTTAACCTACTACCAGCTTGTCAGCTTAGGTTAATTAATTCAAATTGCTAATAATTGTTACCATGAGTTGTATAACGGTTAGATTAAAAAAATAAAAGTACGCAAATACATTTTGCATTATTTTAATTCAATAAGCCCTTGGTTGTTTACTTGCAGATGTATCAGTACCCAAATAGTAACATCATCAGTGCTAGCAAGTGTGGGATTTGCTTCCTGTTTATATATATAGTTTTTGACTTGCAACTATAAATGAGACTGGAATTTTGGCTACTGAGTGAAGCAGTCACTAATCAAAACCTCATGTCACTGATTCGCTCAATGAGTGCAATCCTGGCACTCCTGGTTGCAGTTGTTAATTGATCTCTTGCATTTAATGCCTATAATTGAAAAAGCAAAACAAATCATCAGTTCACCTGTAGTGGACACTATATTTTCTCTATTTTCGCTGCAGAGCTGGGACAACAGGCTTGTCTTGCCAGAGCCACTGAGACCTATGCAAACCAAGTCATATTCTGGTCGTGGAGGTGGAGGTCCTTTGCAGCAAAGGGCTCGAAAACACTGTTGAGAAAACATCAAGAAAGATTGTTCACCTTTTTATAAGTAACAAGAAAAGGAGGAAATAATATTTGCAAGACAGAATATTTGATTACCCAGAATCAAAATGTCTATGGATAAAGGAGAAGAGCATCCTGGTTTTCTTACACTATTAGACAGAAAGGGTTATTCAGTTCTGCAATCTCTATCCCAATGCATTACCTTAGGATTGCTTTGTTAATGTTTTCAAAAGGCCTAGTATGCCACTGTCTTGAAAGAGAAATGGATACTATTCATGGAGATGTAAAAAGTTTCCCAGGGCCCAGTCTATATATTTTTTATTAAACCATGAAAACAACTAATTCATTTCCTTCACAATCAATAGTTGTGGTAACTCACTAAAAGGATTCCACTAATTTTTGAAAGATACATATGACTTTCCAATGAATCATCAATCAATGAGGAAAGCGCTTCTTCTATAGGTCACACAGCAGATCTGCATTGCCTAGTTCTCCTTATTTTAATCTTTTCATGTCTACCAGCTTCCAACACAGTATGTTCAGACTCAAACCAAAGACACCAATAATAGATCTCTATACCATTGTTACATAACCAAAAGCTTGGGGGAAAGCATGAAATATTTAACAGAAATATCTTAAGGGACTATTTCAGCAAGTCTTTTAAAGGGAACAACTCAACATGTTGAATTTTGGAATAATTTCAAGTCTGCTGTTGTCACTTATTAACATACAGTTATCAGCCATTTTTGTGAAAGAAATGTTATGCAACATGAAACAATGTGCCTACAACTAAAATTCTTCTAAAATTCTTCTAAAATTCTTCATTAAACCTTGGCTCCTTTAGAGCAGGGGTCCTCAACCTTGGCAACTTTAAGACTTATGGACTTCAACTCCCAGAATTCCTCAGCCAGCTTTGCTGAGTTGAAGTCCACAAGTCTTAAAGTTGCCAAGGTTGAGGACCCCTGCTTTAGAGGGCTTTGGGAGCAAATGTCTGACTAAAGGCCTTTCATTTTTTATTTAATTGAAACACCTTTATGCCACTTTTAGTTATTAGTTTCTAAGTAACCTATTCTGAGCAGCAACAAATATATAACAATACAATTATAAAAATATATATCAAATATAAATGCCATCAACCATGATTATATTCTTAGACATAAAATCCGTGACCCCACATATGAGAAAACATAAAAATTAATCCCATACAGAGTTACCCATATCCACGCATGTTTTTCAATACATCCTGATTATTAAAAGTGAGGGCATGATCCTTATCTTCGATGGGAAGGTGTTCCATAGGAGAGGTGTTCTGTAAAGAATGCTGGCTTGTTGAAGGGAAGGGTGTTATCAGTAAGCATTTCTTTTGCGGCACACCTTAGGGACACACAGGCCCTAAGTCATGCAGACTTTATAGGCTATCACCTGCACCCTGAAGTACAATCCCAAACAAGCCAGTCACCAGGGCACTCCTGGAATATTGATGTTACATGGAATACAGTACTGGCTTGCCCTGCTTAACATTAGTATTTTGCACTAATTGCAGATTGCAGGAGATTTTCAAGGGTAGCCCCATGCAGAGTGTGTTGTAGTAGTCCACTTGTGAGGTGACCGGGACAGTAGGGGCCTGCAGCCATCACTTCTACTCCAGAACAGCCGCAATGTGTTTCAGGTTTGTTTATTCCCCTCATGCATATGTTTATGTTGACTGAATGCTTTTTTTTATTTTTGTTTTTTATATTTTATTTAGTCATTTGTTTTTGTCTTGTGATGCTTTTAACCTTCTTCTTGCCTGTGATAAACAACATGACTTCAATCTGTTTACAGATTACTAAACATTTCTATGATGCAAACATTATTGCAAGAGTCATTGGTTTAACATTTTTATGACACGTGTACGTCATTCGTGTCAGGCAAGCAAATGCATCTGCACTTTTCAAATGTGTAGTATGTTAGACTTCGTTTGCTAACTGTAGGTACCACTAAGTACATTTATGTGGTAATAAGGCAAAAATGTGGTTTTATCTGTAGGGGGGTGTTTAGCATAGTGAGCCCATATACCATGGTTTGCTCATTTTCTCTCTCTCTGTCTACTTATTTAAGCACAGAAGACATAGAAATGCATACATATAAAGATACGAACACACGTATACTTGCAGAAACATATAATTGCTAACAGTGTGATAATATTGAATTAAATAAACATGCCATTTTATTGAAAGAAAAATATTCACTTAAATCATTAAAATAATACATATCAGCAATTAATTACTGCAGATTTATCCTTCCAGTGTTATATAATAATTCTTTTGGCTATCCCCCATGCACAATAAGTTCACAATTCTTGATAACTAATAGATTCCAAATACTGAGACAAGAGCCAACAAGGACATGTGCATCTCCTTGACATTCAACAAGCAATCTAAAATCATGTTAACAACCCAAGTGGATTTCAATCCAAAATGTGACAATAAAAGAACAGACCTAGTTTTTGCAGTTCCAATTTCTGAAATCTATCTCCAAAGGAAGGCTATTGCAGCTAACTCATATTGAACATACTCTGCAATATCCAATATTTGCAGAATAAAAGTTTATGCAGCACTAACCCCATCCTAAGATCAAAAACAGATAGTTTAAATTATTTTAAGCAACCTATCATTGATTTTCCAAAAGAAGGATGTTCCAGGTTATTATCCCAAAGATTGTCTTAATGATTAATATCAATTTCATCAAATTCCTTCAACTTTTACAAAAAGTTTTGCTGGCTTAGGAGCCTTAGCCGTTTCCTCCAAAACCTCTACCAGATGTGGAACTTCAGAGACCACAATAGTATCAAGAATAATCCAAATAACAAATGTTAAATTGAATTAATTGCCAAAAAGTCTTTTAAAATCAAACTTAAGTCTTACAAAAGTTTTAAAATTGCTGCTTCAGAACTAAATTGGTCAAAGTAATATAATTATGAGATATCCAGTTCCACACAAAAGAGACTGTGATTAATAATTCAGGAGTTGTATTTTGATCCCTCTCAAATTTGCTTGCAGATACTCTGTCAACCCTCTTGGCTTTATGGCTTGTCCAAGCAAACCATAGAAAAAAGGTTAGATTTCAGGAAACATACAAATTTAAATATATAACATACTTTTCTTTAAATATATGATTTTAAATCTGTTTTTTTAATTTTCAATATTTATTTTATTTGGTGACAAGCAACTTCACACTGCCATTATCCCTAACTTATATTGTCAGCCAACAGGTTTTCTGCAGAGGCAATCTGCAGAACTTTTTAGCATCGGTGACACAGGTAGATCCCTAGAACATTGCCAGAATACAATACATCTTCCTGGGAAGAACAGATCGTGTTCTTCTGTTCTGTAAGCTGGTGGAATGTTGTCTATTTTGCCTTAAGTGTTCGGAACAAAGAGGAACAAATTGTACCTTATACATGACCAGTTTTGGTCACCACAATGTAACAAAGATGTTGAGACTCTAGAAAGAGTACAGAGAAGACCAACAAACATGATCAGGGGAATGGAGACTAAAATATATATAAGGAACGGTTGATACTTTATGTCTACTTTAATGAAGAGAAGGACTAAGGGTGACATGATAGCAGTGTTCCAGTATCTCAGGGGCTGCTACAAAGAAGAGGGAGTCAAGCTATTTTCCAAAGCACCTGAAGGCAGGACAAGAAACAATGGATGGAAACTAATCAAGGAGAGAAGCAACCTAGAACTAAGGAGAAATTTCCTGACAGTTAGAACAATTAATCAGTGGAACAACCTGCCTCCAGAAGTGGTGAATGCTCCAGCACTGGAAATTTTTAAGAAAAGACTGGACAACCATTTGTCTGAAATGTGTAGGGTTTCCTGCCTGAGGAGGGGATTGAACTAGAACAATGGTGGTGAACCTATTGCACGGGTACCAGAGGTGGCACTCGGAGCCCTCTCTGTGGGCATATGTGCCATTGCCCCAGCCTTGCCTCCCCCGTGACCCCCTCCTCACCAGCAACCCTCCTGGAAAAGAGTTGCCCCCGAGCATGGCCCACGTGGAGCAGTACAGCCAAGGACATGGCAGCCAGGCAGCATAGACAAGACTCTGCCCTCATGCCCCATCACGCACAGTTGATGCTGCGGGGCGCGGGCAGAGGGCGTGACTGCCATGGTGCTGCTGGGTGATCTGTGGTGGGCCCTGGAGACAGTGAGTGGCCCTGCGGGCAGGTGGGGTGGGGGCAGAGCAGGACGGGGCAGGGGGTGGAGCAGGGGCAGGGGCAGTTTTGGGGCACTCAGTCTCTAAAAGGTTCATCATCACTGAACTAGAAGATCTCAAAGGTCCCTTCCAACTCTATTATTGTTATTATTGTTATTGTTATCCCAAAAAGAGGATTTTATATAATTTCCAAAACCCCTCTTAGAAACTTCAGTGCAATATGGAATAGATCCAAATCCAAGGTTTGCCAGAAATCACCTTTGTGGCTTTCCGCACAAGAAACATTTTATATATGAGATATAATAGGCAAATACAAATGCCTAACTCTGACAGAATAATAATTTAATAGCTAAACAGCTTATGTAATGATGTAATATAAGGTGGATGATGCAATGAAAGGAATGACTCAGCAGGAGTCTCTGTCCCTTTAAGAGCCTGAGTATAAAAGGAAAGGCTTTTTGCTGCTGTGTTCTCTCTTGTCCATTTCCTGCTGTAATTGCTGTGTATTGGAGTTTGCTGAATTATCATCATGTGTATATATTTTGTTTCTAGTATGTTTGTAGATATTGTAATATAAGCCACCATTCAATATAGACCACTGTTTACTGTGTTTACTCCTGGGTTACCTCAGCGCAATAAGACCGGGCATGCTCTGACAAACTCATTGTGAGACACTAGAATTTTGTTAAAGGAATAAAAAATAAAATCAATAAATAGATATCAAAGGGACATCGTTGCCATTTTTCATTTGTTATTAGCAAGATTTAATGGATGACAAAAGAGTTTTTAGTTTGTAATACTAATTTTTAAATGGAATTACATATTAATGATGAACATAACTGCTAAACTGTATAAACTTCTAATGATATTTGAAACAGAACAAGTGAAAGAATGTATGACAAAGTTGGCTAAATATTTTGATTAGAATGTACAGATTGAACAATGGGAAATATATGATTGAAAGAATTGAAATTAACACTGTGTTGCAGTCTTAAATAATGTTTTATAAAATGATGTACAGTTGATGTATGCCACCAGAAAAATGTCTAGAATATTTAAAGGCACTTCAAATACATGAAATATGAACAAGGAGGAACATTTTATCACACTTGGTGGACATGCAAAAAAGCTAGACTATTTTGGATTCAATTGCATAATTGGATTCAGAGGATTTTAAGATTAATACACAATTGAGATCAGAGGTCTTTCTGTTGGGATAAATGGACAAACAGGTGGAAAAAAAACAATGGAATTTTGGTTTTGCATATAATAACACAAAATGGAAACATTCAACAATACCTACAGTGGAGGAATGGTTGGTGAAGATGATGGAACTTGCTGAGATAGTTAAATTCACATATTTGATTAGATGCATTTATTCACTCATTCATCAATAAACATATTTATGTTTCTTGTTTACTGGAAACTCCTCATGAACAGAAAAAACGGACTGATGATTTGTAGTTTCGATGATTAGATAGGATAGACTATAGAGAGAAGAGAGCTATTTTGAAACTTAATTTTAACCTAAAGAAGTATATTTATAACTGTATTTACAACTGCTGTAAAGATCAGAAGTTATTTCTTTGTATCTTTTTATTTCTTTTCTGATTTTCTTTTACTTTATTTCCTTTCTTGTAGTTTTAGCTTTCTCTTTGATTTCTTTTTTCTTTCTTACTTTATATTACTTTGTATTAGTTTTTAAATTCTTTTTTTAAAAAACCTTTTAATAAAATGATAACAAATGAAAAACCTTTGTAATTTGGGAAATTCACATAAGAACAATAGAGGTGTTGAATGTTGCACCAAAGGCTATTTAGTAGCCCACAATATTCCTTTACTAGTTATACAAATCCTGGGCAAGGAATAATATATATATGAGATTAACTGAACAATGACGCATTTTGCAGGATGTCAATTGATTGTTCAGCAAAGGCCAGAATAATGACAAAGCTACAGTCAAATCCTCTGCTCTCTATATACAACAGACATGACATGAAGAAGATAGAAAAGAAAAGGGATCCCTAAGTCAGTATCAAGATTTATATGGTGATATTAGCAGTTTTCAACCCTGCCATGATGCACAATCAAAAGTTTTATATATGTATACATACATATATACATACATACATATGTACATTTGTGCACTGAAGGAAAATATGCATACAAATGCAATGTATTAAAGAAATCACTTGACCAATATTGTGTAAAAACACATAAAAATATCTACACAATTTCATATATACCTTAAAAATACAGTGTGATGTTACAATGGAACAGAATAGACCTAAATCTCAAAAATGAAAAATTGCATAAAATATATAGATTTAATGACAGAACCTGTTAATATTAACATATTTATAGCCAATAGAAATTACTGCTGTAGATAGCAAAATCAATTATTTGCTGTTGGTCTGAGAGAGAAATATAGATGGAAGCTATACTATTAAAAGACTATTAATTAGAGTTATTTTGCATGATGTTTGGCTTTATAGTACAGCAGAATATAAAGAATCAATTAATGCTAATAGAATAGTGGGAGCAGTTTATGCTGCACGTGTCAATCCAACAATACAAATGTCAGATGAGCAAACATATTCTGTGCTGTCTATGCTACTATTACTTGCAAAATCTGGAGAACAGATTAACAGCAAATCAAAAACTACATTTTTTAGTACAAAGAGTTTTCTACACATGGATTTTTTTAAAAAATAAATGCATTAATTCTGTTAATTAGGTATCAATACACACACTGATGTATTTTACTCTGTATTATACTTTCTTGACAAATCAACCAGTGGATGGAAATTGTTATAATTATATTGGAAACTACAAACTCAGAAAAAGCCTATAGAGGACCTGATTGATGGACTCTTGCATTTGGAGATTCAATTCATTGCTATCTGTGAAAATAAAGCTTTTCTATCATGCTTTTTTTCTGATGTCCTTGTGATATATTGCAA